AACTTTGTACTGTTAGAAAAGTTGAGTTCTACTGCTTCTTTTAACTTGGGCTCTTGTTCTCTTTACTGAAGGTACACTTTGAATGTACTATCAGACCTTGGAGAGGGGGAAAAAGTAAATGATGAAATYATTATTAAGTGGGTGAATCAGACACTTGCAAAGGCAAATAAGAAAACTTCAATTAYAAGTTTCAAGGTAATCAATTTTATTTCTTTTTCTTTCCACATATAATAAGACCTGGGATTTTTAACCTGATCTGTCAACAATTTGGCTCTAACAGTGGCTCTCCCATCARCTCGTAAAATTGTTTAAGGAAATATTTCTGATGGTCTGTGAATCTTCAGAAGTATTTTACAAATCTATTAACAAGAATAAGAAAGCATAATAGCTGCAGTAAGATACAAAATAAAAACCCCAACAACAAMAAAAAAGAAAAATAAGTTTAAACTTTCAAAGGGGCTTCTGTCTGAAGTTACCAGTGTTTGGGCGTGGCATGTCATATATTTTCCAAATTTTTGGACGTAGGCGCCCTCATGCTTGTAAAAGCATGAAAACAATTTTGGAAATACTGGGGACAGATGACCACTTCTCCTAAGAGCTGGTTAAAAAAATGTACTCAGGTGTGACAGAGCCGGAAGAGGGTGCCCAAGGTAACCAGCGACACCTTGTGTCTTCCTTGGGAAAACAGGAGCTTTTCCCATTCAGCAAATAAGAACACATTGATAAAGGAAGCTTTCCTTCCACATCATTTAAGTACTAAACACGAAAGAAGCCCTATGTGTGTCAGGTGTGTTATTCTGTGTGAATCTCTTGCTTTACAAATGGCTGATAAGTCATTGAACTTGCACACAAATACAACTTTCATGTAGAGGTTCGTTGTATAATCTGAAGCAGTTATGTCTGTGGTTCAAAACAGGAACATAAAAACATAGCAAGTTAAATATTTAGCATTCACTATGTTGTGAACTTTAATTAGGTAAGCATTATTAATCAAAAAATTAAGTAAAAATATTTCATTTTCACTCTAGAAGGTAACTTGGGCCTTCATTTTCTTGTTGCTGCTTCTCTTATTTGTACATAAATTGTAATCATGATGGTATTAAATAACTTTCAAGTATGACAAGAATCTGTCCAAATATCTTGCCTTTGGTATGCCTGTGTTTTTGGGGCAACATTGGTTGTGTTTGTAAGGTCATTCAGGTGGTGTTTTTAAGAGAATTCAACTGATGGTTGACCAATACAGATAAGGAGGTACTGTTGTCAAGTGACACTATTCAGTATTTTTACTAATAATTTTGTACAACATTCACATATATGTTGTCYTTAACTGTTTGTATTTTGGGATTACTATGGCAAGCAGACAGTAGAGACTGTGGACTATGAAAGCCATTAGTTCAAACAGTAAAAATTATAAAGGTGTGTCTTATGGGATATATACTCCATGCATTTAATGCCTTGAAACAGAACTATATTAGTATTTTTTGCTGTGTAATTAATATGATGGCTGTATGGGACTTCACTGAATTGGCAGTCCTAGTTCTGACCTGGCAACGAAGGCAGCTGCATCCTGTGGCTYGTGCTCAGCACTGCAGGGCCAGAGCCAGCCTCACTGGCACTGGCTGTGCTTGTTTTGGCATCAGCAGCTCCTTCTCTGYCCCGACAGCTGAGAAAGAATAATTGCAGCAACAGCACTTCCCCTTTTAAGAATGTCTGTATTAAATATGAAATGCATGCTGCTTACACTCACTCAGATTACCATCCGAGCTGAAAAATCATAAAAAGAGTGAGCCATAAACTACTGTAGGAAATAGTTCTGTGCAAGAAAAGGAAGAAAATATATGTGCTGGGGAATGTAAATATCTTTTTCTTGTCTTGAAAGTCTGGTCCTTGAACTTTTATCAAAATGCCCTTCTTTCCATAGGGCATAAGGAGGAAAGTTTGGTGAAATAAATTTAAACCATTTGTGCAATAATGACACCAGCACAGTGAACCTTATAACACTGATTGCAGAAAAGAGCATTAGATTYCATAAAGGGTGAGGAAAACCTTCATGCTATGAAGTAACAAAACAGACTTCTGTCTTTCAGTATGTGTGCAACATGTGCTGTAGGGTTTTCTGCAGGTTGATGATTGAGTAATCAAAGCAGATTCCTTAAACTAATTTTGTGAGTCTTTTTATTTTAGGACAGATCAATTAGCACTAGTTTACCTGTCCTAGATTTAATAGATGCCATTGCACCAAAAGCAGTTCGTCCAGAAATGGTCAARAGAGAAGACCTTTCTTACCAAGACAAATTGAATAATGCCAAGTAAGTTTCAAATGAATACTTCGTATTTTTCTGAAATGCAGTAAATGCGTGAATTTGCAGTGTAATGCATGATTTGCTGATTTGTTAAGAGAAATATTACACTAATAGTTTTTTTTCAAAAATAAGATATTATAAATTCTAATATTATTCTTTTTCTAGTGTGCCTAAAATATTAAATCAAATTCACAGCTGATATGGCCTACCTCTACTGCACTGCAATTAGTTTAATAGTCTGCCATAACTCATTTTTGACCAAAATAAATGCTTAGATAACCAGTAGCAAAACATCTGCAGTACAATTGCCAGTACATGCTTTCTTCACAATAATGTCCATTTTCTAGTAGAGCCTAAGTACTGATTAAACAGACATATCCTGCTATTGAAATCTGGTTTTGTTGTGAATTTTGACATGCYTTTATTTTTCTGGCATCTACTAATATTTGTTTTTCTTGTTTTCCAAGGTATGCCATTTCAGTTGCTCGAAAAATCGGTGCTCGTATTTATGCTCTCCCAGATGATCTGGTTGAAGTGAAGCCAAAAATGGTGATGACAGTGTTTGCATGTTTGATGGGAAGAGGACTGAACAAAATAAAATAATGAAGACAKGTTATATAACTTTCTGCCATCTCAAGCACAATGAATGCCTCGCAGTTTACAGAGTTCTGAAGCTTAGTATGAGAAAAACTGTATGCACAAATATACTCATTAATTATCTTCTAATATTGTGTTTATATTAGTTAATTTAATTCTGTTTCAWAACACATGGGTTATTTATGGCTAATACTGTTTTCAGAACATGCTCACTAACAAATTAACATCATAGATTTGTATTGCTTAGAAAAACCCATGTAAATCAAGCTTCATTTGTATTAGTTTCCATAGCATTGTAAGAATCTGCGTAGTTTTACATATGTTATTTCAGAACCAATAATGAAACACTGTTTGAYTTTTGTGGGTGTTACTTACATGTAGTCATACAAGTCTCAAGGTGCACTCCAATCCCATTGGATTGGACTCCAAAATGCACAGAAGTTATCATCCTTGCCTTATTCTTGGACAGCTTAACTCTTGTTGGAGCCAGTGAGAGTCTTGTCATTGACTTCAGTGAGAGCACATAAAGGCCTGTGATAATGTCTGGTAACTAATGAATGCTGATGAAACTTTTTTGTGGGAATAATCTTTAAATGTAAGTAGTAGTTTTGTTCTGTTACTTAGCAGAAACTTTTACAAATGATGTATGAAAAAAACCAGCAATGGAAAGCAGAAATATCTCATTATTAGGTCTGCATACATATTAAGTTTTGCAGTTGGACTAAACAGCTGTAGGTTGAGGGTTTTTTTTTTTAATTTTTCATAAAATATTAAGAAAGCAATAAAGAGCTGTATGGGATTTCATGTTACTGTATTGCATTTCCTTATAGCTCATACCTTTGATTTTCCTCAAGTGTGTACCATGTGTGCAGAAGTTTTGTGTAGAAAGACCGGTGCAYTGTCTGGATGAGATGAAGTCCATAATTTTTTCGTAATAATTTTAAAGGAAGTATTTGTACTCCTTTTTCATCAGCTGTAAGTTGTCACTAATCATGCTGGAGCTGGACATTTAATAAAGTTGTTACCAAAAGCCAAACAATAAGAAAACTAAATAAAAATTAAAGAGATTATTTTTTTAAGTATGAAGCTTCTAATTTCTCTCAGCTCCTGAAACCAGTTCTAAGTATGGCAAAACCCGAGAATCCTCATGAGTGAATTGCTGGCCTATGTTTTACATCTTCACTGTCTTGCACTCAACGTAGCAACAGATGCATTGATCCATTTTCCATTATCTAATGGGATAATGGAGACTGGAGGGAATTAAGTGCTTGGATTTTAATGCATTTGCCTCTTGTTTTGTTTGGACAAGATTTGATTTACTTAGTTTCTATTCCCAGTTCAAGATGACAACAGAGTTTTGTGCAGAATTTGAATTCAGGAGACAACTCAGTCCTCATGCAAGAGAGGATATATGGATGCTTACTTAGTCTGTATACTATAAGCATAAATGRTCTTATTAAATTATATAATTCTGAAGTACTCAGGTACTTTACCTRCTCAGGTCCTTGGTCACTTATTCCATAAAGGCCAGTATTCCCTATTTTATAAACTAYTGTTATAAGTGTTCAGAATTACTTTAAAGTTGCTTGGATGAAACTGCAGTGGGTTTTCGTGGGCAACCATCTACTSTTGGTGAGCAGGGCCTCAGCTCCTSTWACAGAAAGGAGAAAATGCATCTGAGGGAAAAGGCAGMGCTGGGGGCGCGCAGCCGATACTGCAGGCTGTGCGCTCCGTGCCCGAACGCGCCCTCCCTCCAGGGCCCTGCGGACCCCTCAGGCCCCGCCGCCCCGCGCCGAGGGCGGGACCGTGAGGGGCGCGGAGCAGCGGCGGCGCCTTCGGCCCACGGTGCCAGCGCTCCGCCCGCCTGCGCTGCCCCGGCGGCGGGGCTGGAGCCTGCGCACTGCGGCGGGGAG